TTTTGCACAAACAAAGCCAATGCAACTAAGATTAGAAGAAAAGTAGAAAATTGGGAATTTTTACAACCAGTCTCTCTGATAAGGCCTCATTTCTAAAATATATAGAGAATTAAGTCAAATTTATAAGAATACAAGTCATTCCCCAATTGATAAATGGTCAAAGGATATGAACAGGCAGTTCTCAGATGAAGAAATTAAAGCCATCTATAGTCATATGAAAAAATGCTCTAAATCACTATTGATTAGAGAAATGCAAATCAAAACAACTCTGAGGTACCACATCACACCTATCAGATTGGCCAACATGACAAAATAGGAAAATGATAAATGTTAGAGAAGATGTGGGAAAATTGGAACACTAATGCATTGTTGGTAGAGTTGTGAAATGATCCAACCATTTTGGAGAGCAATTTGGAACTATGCCCAAAGGGCTATAAAAATGTGCATACCCTTTGACCCAGCAATAGCACTTCTAGGGCTGTATACCAAAGAAATCATACAAATGGGAAAAGGACTTACATGTTCAAAAATATTTATAGCAGCTCTTTTTGTAGTGGCAAAGAATTGGAAATTGAGGGAATGCCATCAATTGAGAAATGGCTGACCAAGTTGTGGTATATGAATGTAATGGAATACTACTGTGCTATAAGAAATGATGAGCAAGCAGACTTCAGAAAAACCTGGAAAGACTTGTATGGTCTGATACGGAGTGAAATAAGCAGAACCAGAAGAACATTGTACACAGTAACAGCCATGTTGTGCAATGACTAACATTGATAGACTTAGCCCTACTCAGCAATGCAAGAATCTAAGACATCTCCAAAAGACTGATGGTGGAAAATATTATCCACATCCAAAGAAAGAACTGTGGAGTTTGAATGCAGATCTAAGCAGACTATTTGCTTTTTTTTTTCTTCTGTTTTGTTTTGTTTCCTCTTTCTGATGGTTCCTCCTATTGGTTTTAATCCTTCCTTACAGCATCACTAATGTAAAACTATGTTTAATAGGAAAGTATATGTGTAGCCTATATTAGATTGCGAGCCATCTTGGGGAGGGAGGGGGAGAAAAATTTAAAACTCAAAAGCTTACGGAAGTGATTGTTGATAAATCAAAATAAATTAATAAAAAAATCATTTTGCAGATGAGTAAACTGAAACCCAGAGCTGCAATGTGTAACCTGGCCAGCTTTTCCCCCCAAATCATCCTTGTAAATTTTATTTATTAACATTCACTGAAATTGAAATCAATTGGAGTTTGACTTTTTTCCTGCAGACAATCTGCCATCTCTGGTGAAACTGAGAAGTTTCCAGTCAGAAGCGCTGGTCCCCTAGTTCAGGCATTCGTTCGAGGCCTTGTGACTGTCATCACATTCTTCCACTGTGTTAACTATTCCTCATAATTTTTGCCAGCACTTGAACACAATCCTGCATTTTTCATAGGGACATCTTTGTCCTTTTCCTCTTTCTTCTTCATCTTCATCTTCTCCTGTTTTTTTAATTCCAATTCTTTCTTCCTGTCTTCCCCCTCCCCCATCTTCAGACAGACTCATTGGAGAAGATACTGGGGGATTTGGAGTATCCTGTAGGATAAATCCAAATCAGTTGGCAGAGCCTGGATTTCAGTCCCAGGTCATAGGATCTAGAGCTGGAAGAGATCTCATCAGCCATCGACTGCAATGCTTTCATTTTACAGATGAGGAAACTGAGGCCAAAAGGAGTGAACTGGTTTGGTCAGGATTATACAGGTAGCAAGCATCAGAGGTGAGATTTGAACTCAGATCCTTTGACTCTTAATCAAGTATTCTTTCCTCTGAATTAAACACTCCTGTCTAATCTTTCCAGCAGCTACTGAAGATTTGTATTTCCAGAGCCCCGTCGGTCTGACATGTCTAGGTCACCATCAAACAAGTCGGCCACCCAGGTGCTAAATGTGAAAGAATGTTAACAGTAATGAGCCCAAATGTTGTGTTCTTTACAAGGGATCATTGCCAGTCTGTGTTTGAGAAGCTTGCAAAAGCCATGATACAGTTTATCCCCATAAACAAGATAATAACGTGCAAGTGTTCCATGGTATTTCTCCAGAAGAAATTCTCTAGTGCCTCTGAATTCTTCCCAATTAACCAAATGATGATTATCTAACTAGAAACTTCGACACTGAGAACCCACCAAGGCAGTGTGACTGGACTGCACAGAGTAGCTAACACACCTTCTCTGGCGAAGATTAAGACAAATTAACTTAGCACCGAGCAGACACCAAGCATAGGTTCCCGCAGCTGTGGGCATCGCCAAGCTATAATTCTATTGTAAATTGTTTTCCCCATGGTTTCCTGATTTTATATCCATGATTGAGATACATTTATTCTCTCTTTTAAAACAATTTCAAATCATTGTTTTTCTATTCTGATGCTACAAGAGGCTTCTATCCTGGCAGACCTGAGGAAAACATGCCTGGCAGTTTTATTTGGGCAGGCCTGGATGCTAATGAGAAAGGAAATATTCTTCCTTTGCCATGGGCCTTAGATTAAATACAGGCCCCTGGCCCTGGGGCCATGACCAGAGGACCACTCAGATTCGAATTTTTCCTCTTTTAAAACTTTGTGTGGCTAACTAGATGCTCATTGGTTGAAGAATGGATAGGCACTGTGTCATCCAGTGTGTGCACAAATTGTGGCCAGTGATTGTAAGGGAATGTTACTTTACATAAAAAAAAAAATGAAGATGAGGCTTTTCAAGGCAGGATGAGAAGATCATAAAATGAGGCCAGTTGAACCATGGCACGACACACATGATGACTCTGGTAATATAAATAGAAAGAAAAGTGAATGCTGTGTGCTTAGGATGGCCATGTTTCCCTCCCTCTGTGAGATGAGAAATACACCTCCTTTCCCTCACAGAGAAAGGAAGAAAGGAAATGAACACATATCAAGCTTCTACTTTGTTCCAAGTACGGGGCTAGATGCTTTACAAATATCATGTCGTTCAATCCTCACCACAACCCTAGGAGGGGGCCGCAGTTGTCATCCCTGTTTTACAGTTGAGGAAACTGAGGCAAACAGAGGTTAAATGACTTTTTCAGTGTCACAATAACTAGTAAAGTCTGCGGCTGGATTTGAACTTGGGCCTTCCTAACTCCAGACCCAGCACTGGCTGTGGAAGGAGACACTAGATGTGGACTAGAAACTTGCACTGATATGCTCTCATATACAGTTGATGGATCTAGTAGGTTTTGCTGAGCTTCTTTTTCCCTCTTTCTTTTTTAATCTTCTTTACAAGGGATCATCGCCTGGATAATGGGGCATAAGCAAGTCTACTTCCTGCCTCAACGGTCATCAGCTGGGCTAATGAGTCATTCACAAAATTACACTCCCATGGAATTTGAGAAGTGGAAGGAACCTCTATGACCATCCAATCCAACTCATAGACATGAAACAATCTCCACTATTAACATACACAACAAATGGTTGTCTAGCATCTGCCACTAATGGCAGAGGGACAGCCCCACCTCCACAGGAAGCCCCTTCTTCTCCTGTACAACTCCTGTCCAGTTCCTTGTCACTGAGTCTACACTGGCCTCTTTTTCAGCTTCTTTCCACTGCTCCTAGTTTCATGCGTTACATACTTAAAAAGGGAGAGTTTGCTGAGAGGTGGTTGTAGAAGAAAGGTCTGGAAATAGTCATGGGGAGCAAGGAGGATTTCAACTCGCCCTTGGGGCCGGTGTTATTGGCACTATTAATAATGACACGGGAACCCTGGGCTTTCATTCACACACATTGTCTCATTACATAATGATAATATTTAAGGATGTTGCTTCTGGCCTGAAGAGGCCTCCAATGAAGAGGGTTCCCCTGTGGTTAGAAAGTGTTTGCTGCTAGCCCAAGAGTTCCTGGTTCCAACAAAATAACTAGGGAGCTCCCATCCTGTGTTCAATTCAATTCAATAAACATTTATTAAGCACCTACTATGTGCCGGGCACTGTGCTAAGCGCTGGGGATGCAAAAAGAGGCAAAAGACAGTCCCTACCCTCAGGGAGCTTACAATCTCCCAGCAAAACTGAGTGGCATCAGGGGAAGAGCCTGGGTATAGGGTTAGAGCGGCTGGTTTCAAACCCTGAATCTTCTGCTGGAAGTTCCTGGCCACGTCATTCCCTGCACCGCCAGGCCTTAATTTCCTCCTCTTCAGTGGTTCTGAGCCTTTTGAGTACTGTGCCGTTCAGTCATTCGGTCAGAGTCCAACTCTATGTGACCCCATGGACTTTTGTCCACGAGGCTTCCTTGGCAAAGATGCTGGAGCAGTTCTCCATTTCCTTCTCCAGCGTGTCCCCATTTTACGAATGAGTAACTGAGACAAGTAGGAATTGAGTGACTTGCACAAGGTCACACAACCAGGAAGTGTCTGAGGCTGGACCTGAACTCTTACTTCCTTGATTCCAAGCCCAGCGCTCTATCCACTGCACGACCTCGCTGCCTTTTCTAGTATAGGGACCTCTTTTTATCATCAAAAAGAGTCTGTAGAACACCCTGTGATAGTGGGTGGGAGATTTCTATCCACCAGTTAAGAAAGTACATGATGACAAAAAGTTCCTCTGCATTTAGTTATGCTTTTAAACTACTGTTTCTGGCATCCAGAGCCAGAACTAGCAGACAAAAGCTAAGGCTTTTCCCCAGATGGGTGATATGGGGGGTACCCTTCTTCCCCCTCCCCTCCTCCTCAGGAGAATGCCACACTCACTTCATCTTCCATTGCTCAGGCTGCCAACCTCAAGGTCCTATAATGATCAGAGCTACCTTCCCACTGGATTGCATTGATCCCCACAAGCCACCTGGCCCAGGGTCCAGGACACAGGTTAGGACAAGGACAAGAGAAGGATCTCCGGGAATCATTGAAAGAGGATTCAGGCACCACTGCAGAGCCTCTCCCAAGGCCCTGTCCCCCTCTGCCCACTGGATGCCATAGGCAGAGTGCTGGCATGGGAGTCAGCAGCCCAGCTCTGTGACATCTTACCTGTGTGTTTCTGGGCAGGTCCCTCCATGGTCCTCGATCTCCTTCTTTGTAAAGTGAGGGGGGCTGGGCTAGATGACCGTGTTTCTCTTATAAATAAATCCTACGTGAGAGATTGTGAGTTGTGCCCATTTACGAAGAGGCAGGTAGAGGGCTGGACTTGAAATCTGGAACACCTGACTTCAGATCTCTTCTCTGTCCCTTTTAGCTGGAAATGGGCAAGTGCATTCCTCTTCCTGGGTTTCAGAGCCTCACCTGTAAAATGAGGGGATGAGACTTTGTGACCTCTAATGGCTGTTCTGGTTCTAAATCTATGATTCTTTGACCCTGACTCTGACCCTTACTAGTTGGGTGACCCTGAACAAGTCCCCTAACCCTCTCTCAGCCTCAGTTTCCCCATCTGTAAAGCAGGGGAAAGAAGAGTGCTTACCTCACAGGATTGTTGTGAGGATGTAAAAGTGTTTTCAAACTTTAAAGCATGATATAAATGCTAGTGATTTTTATTATTACCACATCTATAAAATTGGGGATCATAATAGCACCTTCCTCATACAGTTGTAATAAGAAGCAAGTGTGTTAATGTAAGTAAAGTTTCATGCCTGGCACATAGTAAATGCTTAATGAATGTTTTCGCTCAATTGATTCAAGTACCAGATTGTTAGCACCTTCTGTGGAAAGCCATCCTATTAGATATGGCAGATTCAGAGGGTTCCACTGCACTCAGCTTCTTGGCCCATATTCCTAGCCCTCAACGCTAAGTGGAGAAGAGCAGGGCAGGGCAAGGCACACAGGGCAGGATGGGACAGGTCAGAAAAGGACTGGGCAGGGCAGAGCTGAACCAAGTGTTTGGCCAAGGAATGAGAGAAGGTGCTTTCTCCACATTCGCCACTGGGTGGCAGACAGTAACCAGTATTCCGTGGCCACATCCACCCAAGCTAAGCCTTTGGAATGACTACTTGGAAGGACTGGTTGCTCCAGTACAAAGTGTGGCAGATGCTTGGTTTGGGGCAATAAACTTATTTCTGAGAGTTGTTGCTGTTGCTGTCTTATTTAAATGTTTTTAAAAGATACAAGATGAGGTCTGGTTGCCACCATTTTGATTGAGGGTTACTGGGGTGGGCAAGGAGTCCAATCAGAGCTGTCTTCGTTGGTTTTGTGGTGGTCATTGACACACTTCCTTACTAGTTAGCTGTGTGGCTCTGGACAAGTCGCCTCTTCTCTCTGGGCCTGGGCTCATCAGGAGGATGTTCTTAAAGTTTCTTCCAGCTCCAAATCCTATTATTTGATTTCAGGGTCTACACCAGAATGCTCAGAAGACCACTGGGTGGCACTGGCCTTGGAGTAAAGAAAACCTGCACTCCAGTCCTTCATCTGACCCTGCATTTGTGACTGGAGGCGAGTCATTCAACAGCTTTCAGTCTCCGTTTCCTCATCTATAAAATGGGGATAGGTATATCACCTTCTGTCCAGGGTGGTTGTGAAACTCAAATGAGATAACCTTGGTAAATGTTAAAAGCACTAACAAAAATTCCAGCTGATATTACTATCATTACTATGAGGCATTTAATTCTAGCATATATCTGGAGATCGTTGGATGGCAAAGTGGATATAGTGCTGGATTTCGAGTCCGAACGACTGGATTTGAATCCAATTTTGGACACTTACCAGCTGCGGGAGCCTGAGTCAATTACTTAAACCTCTCTCAATCTCAGTTTCCTCATTTGTAAAATCTAGGATAGTTATAGCACCCGGTTCCCTGGGGTGGGGATCAAATGGGATGGCTCGTGTAAAGTCCTCAGCAAAGCACCAAACACATTCTGCCTATACTAGTTCATTCAGTAATGAAAAGGGATTTGAATTCAAGTGGTGGGAGGGGAGAGTGAGGGCCTCACTTTTACTCTTAGATCTGCCACTTAAGACCTTAAACAAAAGGAAGTCAATTAGTGAAAACACCTTTATTTGCAGATGAGCAATTGGAGGCCCAACAGTCTTATCAGGTGTTGTTTGGCCTCTGTTTTTGAAGAGGGTGGAATGAGGTCATAGGGTGATGCCGGGACTTGCTCGGTGAATTAGATTTAAGAAATGCAGAGCTACACAAGATCGTCAGCTTCTCTCTCCCAGACTCACCAAAGTCCAGTGGCTGAACAGTGGATGACCTTTCAGTCTTCCGCATCTGACCAAGCCTGCTTAGACCGTCTTCATGGCCGTTGGAACAAATTGTTCTCCTCTGCCCATTCCATTGGGGGAAGCCTTTACGGGCTTGGAGTAGATAGCCCCCTAACTCACCGATGGGTTGAGGCCCATTGTTTACCCTCAACCTGGTTCAGCCCAACCACCTTGACAGTTTACCAGAGTGTGGCCTCTGCTCATATCTAAGCTTCTTGGAGACACAGGTGAAGTTGGGTGGACACCAAAGGTGGATGAGGAGCCCTGAAAAGGGCTCGGTGCCCCTCATACCACAGGTGCCCATCCTCCCCGAACACCCCGTATGCCCCTGGATAGGTAGTAAGAGGCAGAGGGATGTATCAAACCCCGGTGATAATGCTTTCTCCTGGGTGGCTTCCTATCTGTGTAATTGCTCCTTCTCAGTCTCTTTGTAAATTGAGAATCGCATCCCTGACTCCTCAGACTAGATGTCCCCTCCCAAGGCTCCCTCCAGGACCTCATTTCTCTCCGTGCTCTCCACTCAAGTCATAGCTGGGTTACTTGTTTCTGTTCTGGCTGCCGCATTCTAGAAAAGATTCCATAAACTGGAATATATCTTGTTTACAGCAATCAGGATAGTGAAGGGCTTTGAGCTCACGCTCTATGAGGACTCCTCAAAGGATTTACTAGGAGGATAATAAACACTTGTGTTTGGGGCCCCCCAGTTTAAAAGGACATGGGTAAACTGGAGAGAGTCCAAAGCGTGGAAATCAGGATGGCGAAGGGTCTTGAATCCATGTCCATGTGGTGAGTGAACTGGAAACAGTCACAGAATACCTGCTCATGCTCTGAAGTCTACTGGGGGATTGCACAAGCTGGGCACACTGCATGGATTCATGAGGACTGGGCTCATTGGGAATCCCTGTGTGAGGATCAGTTGAACTGGAACGCTCAGTGGGAGAAGAGAAGACACAGAAGTGACACGATGGCTGTCCCCAAGTATCTGAAGGGCTGTCATGTGAAAGGGAGATTAGACTTGATCTTCTTGGCCCCAGAGGTCAGAACCAGCAGCAATAGAAGGTGTAAGAAGGCAAATTGAGGCTTTATAGCAGGACCTCTCTTACAACTAGAACTGTAAATGTTGAGTGGGCTGCCCCCCCCCAAAATGGTAAGATTACCATCACTAGAGATCTTCAGAAGACCTGGATGACCCCTGGTCAAATACATGAGGCAGGAGATTCTCATCAAGGCTTGAATTGGGCTCATTAGTCTCTGACATTCTCTGATTCTGTTATTTTAACTATCCTGGGGAAAGAGGGCTTAGGAGCCATCTTCTCTCAGTAATAAAGTAACCAGGAACAATAATGATAGTGTAATGGAGGACTGACCAATAGCTCGGTCCATATGAGCATGTTCTGAGTGGTGCTGATTGCAGTTCCTCGCCCTTGGAAGAAGCTGGGCGTCTTGCTTCTGGGAAAGTGATGCAGTCTGTAGTAGATATACTTCAAAGAGACTTTGGAGTAGGTGTAGACATTCTGAAAGTGGTTCCAGTCTGCTAACCACCTGGTGGACAGTGGCCCACATCTGTCCCGCCTTTTCCTCAAGAATAGCATGAGAGAGCTTTCCAAATGCTTCCTTGAAATCTAGAAAGCAAGGCTAACTAGCATTTATATAACACCCTAAGGCCTACATGGGGCAGCTACGTGGCGAAATGAATACAGCACCAGCCCTGGAGTCAGGAAGACTTATTCCTGAGTTCAGATCTGGCCTCAGACACTTATTAGCTATGTGACCTTGGGCAAGTTACTTGACCCTAGTTGCTTCATTTTCCTCATCTGTAAAATGAGTTGGAGAAAGAAGTGGCAAACCGCTCCAGTATCTTGACCAAGAAAACTCCAGATGGAGTCAGGAACAGTCAGAAAAGACTAAAAAAACAACAAAACAACAAATTAAAGTCTGCAGGGCACTTCAATCGTATGATCTCATTTCAGCCCTTCAACACCATCGTGAGGCTGGGGTTACTCTGTCCATTTTGTAGATTAGGGAAATGAGAGCCGAGGTGGTTTGTCCCTGGTCACAGAGCCAATGAATATTGGCTCCAGATCTCCTTGAATTGGAGTCCAGTCTACAATACACTATACCTCACCATGTTCTTTAGTCTGGGATTAGCGTCTGACCCCGGAAAGAGACTGGTGTTGACTTTGGAATGAGATGGGAGATCTTCTAAATCTCCCTAGACATTCCAGACAGAATCTAGGGGGCATGAGATTATCAGGAGCTGGGGATCCTAGGGCCAACTAGGAAAAACAGCTCTGGATATCACCCCTAGACTGGTGTAGGGAAGAGACCAACCTGGAAAAGGCATTTTAGGGAACATGGAGTCAGCATGCTGTACTGAATGGAGTATAAAACTTGGTGGTCGGGAAAACCTGGATTCAAATCCTGACTGATATTGTTTAATTGTGTGGTCATGGGTAAAAAAAATCCTTTTGTCTCGCTGTACCTCAGTTTCCTCATCTGAAAAATGAGGGTACAGGGCAGCGAGGTGCTGCAGTGGATAGAGCACTGGCCCTGAAGTCAGGAGGACCTGAGTTCAAATCCAGCCTCAGGCCAAACACTTAACAGTGTTTGTGTGACCCTGGGCAAGTCACTTAAGCCCAATTGCCTAAAAAAAAAAAATGAGGGTAATATTACCTGTAGTGCCTATGTCACAGGGCTGGTGTAATGCGTGTATATCAATATCAGCTACTACACTCACTACAGAGAGGTTCAAACTTTGAAGTGCTGCACAAAAGTGAGTTACTGATGAACTGTTATGATGTGTCTTTAGTGTCTTCTCACAACGCTTGACAGATTCTCTAAATCCCAGGGTCTGTTTTTCTTTCCTGGTCCTTCTGACAGCTCAGCTGGAGATCAATTTGTCTTTCCTTCTTGATATAAGGGGGCACATGCTGCATTTTCTTTGAAACTACATTCCCCAGAAGGCCGTGCAGAGTTCCCTGAGTGAAACGCCTCCAAGCTTGGGAGTTTTGAAAAATCTTTGAGGAGCCACCTTGGGCTGTCCCCATCTGAGGCCAACACGGACCTCTGTTCTTTGCCACTTTGCCCAG